TTTTTTTTTTTTTTCCCCTCATTGAGTCTTCTGAAATCGCACAGCCTTAAAATACCATGACATTTCAAAGGTGATGGTCCTTCTCTGTTGTTACTTCCACAAAGTGTATCTCTTGAAGCTTAGTTAATGAAAGAAGTTAATAACAACTCTGAAATGGCTTTGCTGGTGCATCCTATTCACATAACTGCAACAATCAAATAGAATCAATTTGGCAGTGATAGGGTACATCCTACCTTTTTTAATAGTTCTTAGCAATTGGGATTCATGATGTGTTTAAACAGACTCCCAACTCCTACAGCATATTCCATAGTTTAGTTGACATAGAAAAACAACTCTATGGTAATATTTCCGTGTTTCGAGCATTTCGTAAATGTTTTCCTGCAATCATTTTTACAAGCTGCTTCAATTGTGAAGTGGCAGTGCTATCAAAATAGAGTGGAACTGCTTCACGTCAAATGTCTCATAAAAAAAGCAACCGTGTTGAAATTTCATAATAAAATTAAAATACTTTATTTTATCTTGAAACAGAGAAGGGGAATATGTTTTAAAAACAAAAATAAAATCATTCTGTGCCTTATCAATATGGAAAACATTTGTAATATTCTTTTGATTTCTTGAATTAGCATCATTCTTTTCCTCAAATAGTGTGTGTTTATTACCCCTGAGAAATAACTGGGGAAAAAAATTAAGTCTATTTTTCCCTTTATGGGTGGCTTTAAAGTTAATGGGAGTTACACCCACTCATATCAGAGAGGAAATGCATGAAAAGAATATTTCTGTAGACCGTCTTGGATATTTAATTTAGCGAAGACTAAATTTTTTTAGGAATGTAAGTAGTTAGGTTGCATGCCCTAGGAGGGCAGATGTCTATAAAAAATTTCAGCTCACTACCCCTCATCTCTCTGTTTCATAAAAGATTGTGTTTGGTCGAAAGGAATGAGACTATAAGGCTTCCAACATGATTTTCCGGCATTGCTCTTCTTAAGAGGGTAAACCGATCAACAAGCTCGGAGAGAAAGAAGGGGACTCGATCATCGGTTGGCCTCTTAATGAGAAAAAAATGGTTCACAGTTGTCCAGAGGAAAAATAAGAGTGTCAGGAAGCAGTCCTGTTTCAGATTCTCTTCGAAAAGTATGACTCTTGCTTCCTCAAATGTTTCTTTAGTTTTTTTGCTGACTTCTGCTTTTGTTGGCACTGTCGGATTTCTTTCTTGACCGTGTGGCAGTTAAGGACTTTAGAGGTGACTGACATAAGCACTCACCTTAAATAGAGGTTTCACTAGCCCTCTGACTTATGAACACATGTCGTAACAGTATATTATGACCTGTGGGTCGCTATTACAATATGTGACATATGGTGAAAACAGACTAGCTGTAAAACATCCTTCAACTTTTGGTATATTATTATATTGGCTTCCTTATTGCTTGGTGTTGTGTCAGCACTTCTGTGACATTCTTTTGTGTTATCCGTGCTGTTATCACCCCTACCCCCAAATTTCCACTAGGTTGCAACTAAAAAAAAAAAAAAAAACT